GCCCGTAACGTGTGCCGAACCATGTTTCACGACACAGTCACCCGTCTTTGCAAGACATTTCGTCTTGCCACACTGGGCACACATGGGCAGGCGTTGTAAGGCTCCGCAGAAATAGCAAAATGCCCTGTTCTTCTGGCGCTTTTCACATTTGTCGCATTCCTACATGAATAAGTCAGAACTAGAAAGAAAAACAACCATGGACTTATTGCAATTATGATTGGCCACAGGGATGTGCATTCGCTGCTTAAAAATTTCTTTCTGCCGGATTTTAGCCTTCTCTGACTTTTTCCTCTGCCCTGTCTTCTTCTTTGGCATTATTACCGAGTGTCCGTGTCAGAATATCTAAATTGGTCAGTAGTTATTGAGAACTCTGCCTGAAACCGAAGAACATAATAGGATTTTAAAACGCGGCAAGACATGTCTAATGCATGAACGGGTACATAAGCCTTGGTAATATCCACTCAGTATGATAAATAGGATGAACAGGTCGCCCAAAGAGCAAGCTACTAAAAGCTTAAAGTGGAATTGGAACTGTTGCATTAGAATCGCTGGTTGCACAAAATTGGATACGTCGATGGAAAGGTTCATGAAACAAGCATACTCCAAAATTATAAAATCTGCGCTTGAAAACAGTCGCTCATAAGGCAGTCCATAGTAATAGAGCGGAGATACTCATGTAAAGTACTGAGTAAGCAGTTCCAATGGCCACACATTTTAAAAAAGCGGAACTGGGATGTTGGAAGTCAACAAAAGTTTATTTTGTGAGCTAGATGTAAAACTCTTAGATTACAAGATTCATATGTTGTAGGCTACAGTTTCAGAGGAATGGCCGCCTGTTCGTCAACATTGGACAGGGGTTTTAACGGTTTTAAATCTCCCACCAGTCCGGATCCCAAACTCTATGGCATACCGGCTAAAATCCACACGGCTGAACCAAAAGCAAGATAACAAATAATACCTTTAAAGACTAAAAAATTATTCCATCTGACTTTTTTTACAAACAATTTACTCTGATGCTCGCCAACGTTGTTTGTATTCCGTTCATGGCATGAGATTTAAAAAAGCACAGCGAATCGCAACTTAAAATCTTGAACCTATTTATACTTCTGACTAGGAAGGCAAGGCCACCCACGTCATTAACGAAGCGGCAAGGATATAACCCGTTGACTGTCAACTCCAGTTAACGCTGGTGCATCTGGTTTCCAATTCACGTTAAAACCCAATCATATAGATAACATACAAATATTTTACAGAATAGAAAAAATTACCCTGATGTGCTTTTCGTAATGTTGTGAAAGGTACCCTGATAGGAAAATGCAATGTATAATCTTAGGCACAGTGCGTTTAAAACTTGCATCCGCTCACATAAAATGCCGCGATCCGAAATCCTAACGTTTATCGCCTTTTACTTTACCAAAGTTGTCGGCACGGGCGAAAACGAGGACATATATCGAAGAGTGAGCAGGGCATGCCTGGGTTTACGAAAGGCGGGAATAATTGGAAGGAGGCGTAAGTGATGATTTGGCTGATGAATGGTAAGCCACATAGCCGAAGATGGCGAATTATACAGAGGTGGGTGACTGTCCTCCTCCCCAGCGAACTGACGCTATATTTTTGCTGACGATAAACACAGTGCCCATGAAATAGTACGCCTGCGGCTCAAAGGAGTCCTAACAGCGTGCACGTGATGAACGAAGCCAATTATACAGTCCCCTGCCC